CTGTTTTAGTGAGGCTTTTGAGCGGTCTGGGCTTCGATACGGCATTGGTCCGGTGACAAAAGCAATACCAAAAAGGGTGAAAGACCTAAATAAAAGTGAACCTGTATAGAACACCGTCCTTTCTGGTGGGAAAAATAGGACTCTGCATTGTGGTTCGGAGAATTTTCTGGGAGGATCATGAGGTATGCCGCTATCATGAATGCTTGTTTGTATAAAAATGGCTGGAAAATAGATCTGGTTGGCATTAGACAGTCGATTTTCTTCTCTGAACTCAAGGAATGTTATACACTCCATGTCAGCTAAATCTGCAAATCATGACCATATGACCTTCCTCTGTATTCTCTAGCAGAGGATTCATTTTGAGCTGTGGGAGGCACACACAAACATAAAATCCACGGTGACTGTTGTTAGAAAACAGAACACCAAATCCTCAAAAGTACCGTTTTCCAGGTATATGTGGGGTGGCATGTGCAGAGACGCTGCTTTGCGGAGGGGAGTGGGCAGTCTTGGCCCACTACATTGTGTCTGTGTATACAAACACTCCGCTGTGGCCATAACGAAAACTGTGAGCTGTGCCTAATTGCAGGGAGTGAGGGATGAAAGGCAATATGCCTGGCCTCATTAGAGCAGTTCCGAGAAGGGAGATGGAAGACCGTTCCCAGGGATCCACAAAGGGAATTGACATTCCCCTAGTGTAAGCGTCCTGCTGGAGTGAAAACCTCCACACACACTGAACTCACCGGGCCAAGCTGAACCCAATCTGCCAGATCTGCACAGCGAGAGCTCATTTACCTTTGTTTAGCCGGTCATCACACACGCCTCAAAATTAACTATGGGAGTGCAGAAATGTCCACTGGAGGCTGGACTCCACGCATGGACTCCCTCTCCACAGTCCAAACATCTCTCAGGAAAACATCAATGACACAGTCATTTCCATGACCTACATTATATGTAACAAGCTTACATGGTTAAATAATTAAAATACATTCCAAAAATTTCCAGTGATTCATGCCTGTCTAGCTGGCTGCTGGAGTATTATGGGGTTGTCTCTGTTATGGACCCACACATGATCCACGGAGGCAACATTAGTCAGCACAGAGGTCCCTCCCCTAAAGGCAGAGGGAGACACATGGCATTCAAAGCTGGGTCAATATTTATGTACAGATAGAAAATGTGACCATACAGGGACGGATATTTTTTTTATACAATGCCTCACTGATAATCCACAGTTTGCAAAATAACTGCGTGCTCCTGAAATGGAGAGCTCTCCTTCCTGTACTGTATATGTTTCAATGTGTGTGTGTGTGTGTGTGTGCGCGCGCGCGCGCGAGAGAGTGCGTGTGTGTGAGTAGGGCAGCAGCACATGTTGGCAAGAGGAAGAGGAGGAAATGAAAGAAAAAAAAAATAGTCCTGTGCATAGACATACAGGCCTACCTTTTTGCTCAGGCAAGAGGAAGAAATGTGTAGAGAGTGAGCGATCAATAGATGAAAATTGATACTTGGCGTGCAGTTTGAACATCTATGGACTCGGAGGCTTCCTATATCAGTCGATAAGGCTGCTATAGCACTGTGTTCAGAAGTCTTTCACAACTAGAAGCACTCACACTCACAGCACAGTGGGGGAAATACAGCGCGTTGTGCAATAAAATAAGCAGATACGCCACATTGTATATAGCGCGAGAAGGAGCGCAAATTCAGCCAGACGGAGGATCCGTTGTTGTAACTGTAACAAACTGACGAGTTAACCCGTTTCACTCCATTCACAAGGCTGTGGGGCAACACACTGCCTCGGAGCCTACTTGCCAAAGGCGATCTGGCACTCTATATAACCTTATGAATATTCCCAAAAATCCTCCACCCCCCCTCCTCCACCTACTGTCGCCATTTTATACATTGGCGACTTCATATAAACTGCCTTGACTACAGCACCAGATGAAAATTCAATATTCAATAGCGAGGCATAATTTCAGTAAACAACTTTGGAGATCGCGCCTCGCCAATAATGAGAGGTATTCGCGTTATGGAAGAGTAGATGTGTCCTTACCTCAGCAGTCGGTGGGAAAAAATGGAATCCGACATTAATATATAAATGAATAATATTGGATTAGCTCCGATCGTTGCGTTTTGAGAAGAAGAGGAGGCGAGCAGGGGGTGGGAGCTCTCCTCAAGTGAACCCGGTGAACTGGCGTGAACCCGTCAGTGACCACGGCAAGGTACATTACATTACATTACCTTTCCACCCCTCTGCCACACTGTATGGAGACGGCAAAACAACTATGGTCGGCGGTGCAGGACGAGGCAGCTCCAAAAAAAATTATACCGAGTGTATTTCCTATGAACACGTGATTCGGAGCGTCACCCAAAATCCAAAAGCCCTTTCATCTAAAATTTTGGAGAGGGGCGGGGATGAGATGGAGATGTGTGTGTGTGTGTGTGTGTGTGTGTAGAAGGGGAGGAGGGGGGTACGTATACTGAGCCCAGTGCACATTTGGGTATGTCGTTATAGGGGTAAGGCAGTGCTCTAACAGATTGGGTTATACATAGCTACAATGGCGCCGCGGAGCAGGCTGAACAGATGGATTGTATTGTGTAATTTTGGGATTTGACAGGAGTTCAGTGATCTGCCGTTTCAGTCAGCTTCATCACCCAAAAGGTCCTCTTAATTAGGTCACATGTTTTTTCAAGAGATGGCTGCCGTCTTTAGAAAAAGAAAAAAAATATCTCTTGATGGGCTACTATGAATATTAATCGTTGTGGGAATTGTCATTTAAAGCACAGGCCTATTAGCCTACCGGCTTAAAATAGACTTTTACGCACACGCGTAATAGTGCTAGACCAATTTACGCAGATGCACAGTGAATGCAGCGTCGTTGTTCATGTCCATTTTTTTAAAACTTAACATAATAAACTATTTTTCCTTGAATCAAATTACCAGTGTTAGTTGGGTATTGTTGAGTAGAATAGGGGGTTGTAAGGCTGTGACCCTCATGACCTTGTTGGGCTTCTGTGCGTAAAGGCGCACTGAGAAAAGCCCAAAACACACGGAGCCAAGTTTAGAATAAGGGTCTAATAGAAAAAAAGTAAAAAGTAAAAGAACTATGGTAATATATTCAGGAAAGATATTAAGAGAACACGTCATCAAGAGAAATGAAATATTGTAGTTATAGTACAGAAATAACACTAAATATAATATAGTTTCTCTAAAACTATAGTATTATGGACACATTATGCTGTATGTCTACTTTGAAATAATATAGTAAAATAATGTGTTAAGTGTTAAACTCTTGACTATATGTTTGTATAACAGGTACAGGGGCTACAGCCGGAGGCCTACTCAATATACACACCACACCACATCCTCAATGTCTGTTGTAAAGTATGAACATATAGGGCTACTAAAGGCCTCCAGTATTTAGGAAACAGGGATTTGCTCTTCCCTCCCACTTTGTCCTGACTGGGTTCAGACATTGCCTGTAGCTGTGGCTGTATACAGTCAGGAAAAACAAAGATTATCTATCAGGAAGATGAATCACTCAATAGCAAAACAAAAACCCAGGCCGTGGTTTCGGTCTGCAGCAGTGAGACATAACTGTACATGACCTGGTATAGTAGTATAGTATAGCCATACACTCTGTGCCCATTAATGCTATGCTATGCTATGATACTATGGTGATTAAGTGATGGGCAGCATACCAGCAGGCATGGCTCAAAACAATAGTAGATTTTTTAAATTGTTTAATCTTTGGAATTATAGTTTCTGTATTCTATTGGACATCTTGAGGTTGAGGTGGGGGGAGTGAGTTTGTCAGATTCCTCTGCTGCTGTTGGCACCATCTCCTTTATTGCAGACCTGCCTTTCTGGCCCAGTAGGCCTATATACACCGGATATTATTCAGGTTGAATACAGATTAGAGGCTCCCAAGAGTGTCTCTTGATTATCTTCTAAATTAAAAACCATCCCGGTTTGTTTATGGTTGTAGGTTTACAGTTTTTTTTTTTCCACTGAATTGTCTCTAAGGCTAGATGCTGCAGATTTAGAGGTAATGTAGTCTTTTACAGTGTAACGATGCACACAGTATTCAGTAAGTAAATACCAGCTACCACAGGTGTAACCAAGTCCACATGACAGATCTTCAGCATTCTTCAAGCTGAGATGTCTTGCAAATAGACACTTTAGGTATTGGTGTAAAAACACACAGCGTATACCCAGCTAATAGAAATGCAATCATGTAAGAGGTAACCTGACAGGGTGAGGCCTAAACCAGTGGAAGCTAAATGGACGTTACTCTGCAGAATCCATTACTTTTATATATCAGGACAACTGGTCCTGTATTAACACATTTGTTGGGCAAGGCGGGCTTCTTGGACCATTTCTTGTAGGTAACCTACTTGTAATCGGTTTAAGTTGACCTACAGCATCCACTAGAAATACACTGTTGCTATGGTTACCAGCAGTTTGTGCACCTTGTGCACTGGTTTACAGGGGTGCTAAACTGCTGACTGGATTTCTTCCTGGCATATGATTTTAACTTTAATTTGTCTGTGAACATAGCATGACTGAATGTCCTCGTTACAGCCGGCTCTCCTGTTCGAACCCACAAGTCTATAAAATTGTGTTTGTGATACATTTGGACACTGAAATGTGTTATGCTTACTTGGAGGGTAGGCTATCCCAAGCCTGGAAGCATTTCACAGTATAAACCTCAACCACCATCATTACGCAACATTGTTTTTTTTAAGTAGGCCTATTGTAAACAAACAAGACCTGATGAGCTACCGGCTTAGTGCAAAACATTGTGGGCCACTGGCTCAGAATCAGTGTTTTATGTTTCACACCATAAAACAGAAAGTGCTGCTCCTTTTTACTGCAAACAGCTTCAGGAGAAGTTTTGTTTTCCTGGGACTGAAGAAACTGGTCTCAAGGAAACCCACCGTCCCTGTTACCAGGAAAAAGCATCAGAGTGAGAGCTCCCTGCCCTTCACTGCTCTCTGCGGTGTAACCGGATCAGGGCAGAGCAGAGGGACGTACAGGAGGCTTGTTTGCCTCCAAATGAGCCAATGAGACCGGCTTTACATTAGACTGACAGCCTGGCTCAGCGAGCCCGGAGACGCCATCCTGGTTTGACAACCGTCCGACAGCCAATGCGGATCCACGGGGGACAGGAACGGAGGGAAAAAAGCAAAATACAAATCTGACTTCCTGTAGGTCAAAACGTTACCTGCCACCTGCGGAACGTTAGAGTCTGACTGAGGAAAAAGAGGGAGCAACACCCACAACGATGGCTCTGTCGCAGCTCCTAGACGACTCACCTCTGAGGTTGGGCCCAAAATGCACCGGGGCCGACGACCTGAACTTGCAAGAGTTGTATAACGAGAGACACCGGCTGGCTCTGGAGGAGCTGCTGTCGGGGGGGCTCGACACCTTCCTGGACTTCCTGAGGAAAGAGAGGATCCCCAACTTTCTCTCGGACGATGAGATCCAGCGGATCCGGAGCGCCGCCGTGCCCCCGCGGTGCGTGTCCCTGCTGCACGGCGAGGACCAGCCACTGGAGCAGTCGCTCAGCTGCTCCCTGGACTGCTCCTCCGTCACCTATTTCCCCGAGGTGTCGGACGTGGAGCCGCCGCTGCTGGAGATGGGCTGGCCCGCCTTCACCGCCGGCTCGTACCGAGGAGTCACACGGGCCGTGGCGCACTTCCAGCCCAGCTACGGGGAGTGCATATACAGCTGCAAGGAGGCTGCGAGGCGTATGATTAAAAGTGCCAGAGAGGTATGCACGAAGAAACTATTAAAAACACAGTCGCATTCTGTTGTGGGCTTTACTAATAATTACTTTTTATGATTTGGCAGCTGATTCTATTTCCTTTAAAAACACTGTCCTGCAGGTACTAGTTCCGTACTGACAGTATTTATTTATTTATAGATATCCCTTAAGGTACATACTGTATAATACATAGTTGTATTCTATTATTGTATTTATTTCACATTTCTGTAGTTCCGGTAGTATTTTCTAGGCCTAAAGCCTACAGTGATGCCACAACAGCATGTGTTTGTGTGGAATCATCCTAAAACTGGATTATTATTTTGTCTGTTTGTCAAACTCAAATTAATAATATATATTTTTAAAAGCTCCCTGCCACAAAATAAAGAATGCGGGTGTATATATATAGTCACTTATTAAAACATTTTTGGAGGGAAAATCTTTTTTGTATCACCCTTAAAATACATGCCAGACTGTCCCCAGGGAATTTCCTTGATCAGTCTAAACTTTAGAAGTTCTGGCTTTTGAAATCTTGATCAGAAAGAAAGTAATGACCAAAAGGATAAAACAAACAAAAACAGAGCATGAATATTCATGGTGATGTTCCTGATGGGAGCTGTCAGTCCAGCCTCTGGTTTTAAAAAGAAACACACCAGCACGAAGGGAGTGTGCGGCCTCAGCAGCACCTCGGGCCTGTGTGGGGCCTGCGTGCCAGATGTGCCTCGACTTGCTTTGCTCTACTCCATGAAAGTTTGCATTCCCTCTTTCATTAGAGAGCTTTAAACACTGGAGTTCCTCTGTCTGGTTTACAGCTAAAATGTGCTGGTGGATACACAGTGTGCTGGCAACCTTAGAAAAATATTTTCATCCAAGTTTAACCGTTAGATTGTCTGTCCTCTTGTGATGTTGAACCACTCAGTGCACACAGTCTTGTATTGTACAACGAGTCCACTGACTGAAACAACACAGCGTGCATCTATATCGTCACTGGTCAGCTCACAGGAACATCCTGGTCTTGTATTTCTGTGAAAATTTAACTCTGTTTTTACACATTTTCCTACAAATAAGCGCCCACACACTGTCATCCAAATAAGGTGTGGAACTCCTGACAAAGCTGCATGTGGATAACACCGGTTTGAAGCAATAAATCTGAGATATGTAAACATTCGTGTCTAATCCTCCACACACAACCTTTACCACAGCATGTGAAATTCCATTCTCCCTAGTGAAAAAGAGAAATCTCAGTTCAGCTCAGGAAAATGGAGGCCAGCCCTACAGTGCACCTACTTGTCTCCTGTATAAAAGTAACTTGTTTGCTGACCAAGCGTTACTGCCGATTGCCATGGTAACAGACCATAGTCAATAGAAAGCTCATCAGCACACACATTACTGGGAGTATGTCTGATAGAGACTCGCAGCTCTGTTTGAATAAGGCCTTGCATTTGATAATAATAAAAACACAGTCATGTGCTACATGTGAGAGAGCAGTGCTGCGGCCCTAAAAGGAGTTCTATTATATTATCTCTGTAATTTTCCACTGCAGGTGATTGCCATAGTTACAGACTCCCTGACAGACCTGGATATATTTAAGGATCTTCAGGAGGCATGCTCCAACCGCAAAGTCCCTGTCTACATCCTGCTGGACCAATCATGTGCTCCTGCTTTCCTCAAGATGTGCAACAATGTCGGCGTTCGCCTGGATGACCTTCGGGTATGTGGTTGGTTCACTAAGGCTGGGTGTGGCTCTGTGTGCACATTACCAACATCAGATGGCATCAAATAAAAATATGTCTTGGAAGATTTGGTTATGACTGGGCGGGCCTGCACTTATCTCTCACTCCTGTTCTCTTTTCTCTTTTTAATCCGTACAGCAAATGAGAGTGCGAATCATAACTGGTACAACTTATTACATGAGATCAGGAGCGAGGATTACTGGGAAGGTTCATGAGAGGTTCATGCTGATTGATGGAAACAGAGTGGCTACAGGTTCCTACAGGTAACAGCCTGCCAACCATTTCACCTAAAGTCAAATGCTATAGCTGGGTTTTATGTAGAGTGGAAATGCCAAAACCCTCAGATTGACTAGATTGTAAAGTAATACTTTTTCTTGCTGGGTTCGGATAATAGCTGCAGCTGTTTCAGGCATGCATGTTGTTAATTCCCATTTATGTGCAGGTTCAACTGGACTGATGGCAAACTAAACAGCAGTAACCTGATCGAGCTTTCTGGTCAGATAACTGAGAAATTTGACGAGGAGTTCCGCATCCTCTACGCCCAGTCTCTACCTATAAACACCCGAGGGCCTCCAAGTGTCCGAAACAGCGGCATCTACGAGCATCTCCTCCTCAAACACTCGGCCACCTCCTCCCCTCACCGGGCCAGAGAGAGGCCTGTGGAGCTGGTGTGTCTGACCAGCACCCCCAGCCGCAAGCCCCAATATCTGGCTGTCCAGCCCCCGTGTGAACCGTCGACTCCAGATCACCGTAATACCGATCCAGTGTCCAACTCCTCCACCATAGATGAGGACTGGACGGAGCAGAAGCACATGCAGGAGGAGATCCTGGCTGGTAGCACCGCTTGCCATTTCCCTGCAGACCAGCCAGCAGAGAAAGAGACCGTGACCCCCAGCACCATCTCCTGCCACGCCTCCACTCAAACCAGCCACTCAGTGACGGACAGGGACACCCAGACGGACATCCAGCTCACACAACCCCCCAACCTCCTCTCACCAACAAGCACAGGGCCCAACAGGGCCACGTCTCCGTCTTTTGCGTCTCCAGGGCAGATCTCGCCCACCCAGGCTGCTTCAGACAGCACCTTAAAGGACTGCTTCCACAAGCTGACCAAAGAGCGCCAGCACCACTACTCCAACATCCGCTCCAAGCTGGAACACATGGTGACCACCCTGTCCCAGAGGCGAGAGCTAACGGACGTCACCAACATGACTGAGGGGCCTGGCGCTCACAGCAGGGACAGGGTACACAAAGACTGTGGGCAGAAACTAGACCCCAGACTGCTTGTTGAAAGTGCGGGCATGGGCACATGGCCAAGAGCCAGATGTGTACACTAGTTTGTCTTCAGGGTCTTCGTTGGAGGGTTGTGGGGGGGAAGAGCCGTGGCAAGGTTTCTTGTGGATCCTGTGTTTCAAATAAATGGTTTTGGCTTATGCAGTAGAATTCCAGCTTTCTTCTATTAATCTTTTTTTCAGCAGTGCCCACTTTTGTCCTGCTTTCCATGCTGTGTCTTGTCCATGTCGAAGCAATTTTTGGTGTAATGGTAAGGCAGATTTGTAAATGACATTAACATCTTGCAAAAATTATGTTAACCAAAGACACGGTGCAATAATCATTTTTTGACCATGTCAGTTTAATGAATATCATTTACTGAGGTGGTTAAGACTGGATAATATCTGCTGTAGTATGAGTGAAAATGCATTCAAGTGCCTTTTTGGTTATTTAATCACATTTGGCTGCTCTAACTGCATCTGAACAACATTCCAGAGAGCAGCTGGCTCTCACTGTGCTTTGCTAATAAACAAAGTAGTATTTTGCTACATGAGTGCTTATTTTTTGCCTTTTCTAACACTTCCTACATATCCACCCTTTGTGTTCAATTATTGCTCCATTGTAGTTGAAATTGCAATCAGATCCATGTGAAGAATATCTTTAGAAAACATTTGTTGAGAAGTTCCAGGATACACAAGGAAGAAAACAACGCCAAAGTGACTTCACAAAGAAAATGAGCACCTGCGCTTTGTGCACTGCAGTGCCTTCATGCAATTAGTTGAGAGACAGCATCTGTGATACTGGCACCTCTGCTGATTACGTAGCCAATCACAGTTGCTGTCCAGGGTGGATTTGGAGAAGAAGCTCTGTCACAGATCACAAGCATAGATTAGGATGAATGCTAAATGAGCGCTTCTCTACACGCACAGATTGGATTTTCTAACTTCTGATTCCTTGCTGTTATATTACATTTTATATTCGTTTCCAACACAGATGCTTGTCAACATCATTCTTGGAAAAGGGTATTTCAAATGGCTAAACAGCCAAAAACAGACAGCTAATTTTTAGGTGTGGCAGTGAAGCGGAGGGTTGGCATTTGTGCAAAGCTCTATATTAGTACCAAGTAATTCTGAATCTCCACATAAATTGAATTATGGCTTTACATGGGCACTATGTGCTGTTGAGGCTGGCACAAACACTGCTTCAGTCTTCATATCTCAAATTTAAGCACAAAGGTCTTACTGTGAATGATCAAAGCACATCAGTGTCTTGGCTCTGGTGAGAAGTGTGCCCAGAATGCCCTCAGTTATAAATGTATTACTCACTCTGAGCTTTATGTGGCTAATGTTTAACTTTATTGAGGATATGAGGTGTAACTGTCCGTTATCAAGATGTGATAGCTGTATTCACAAAGGAAGTCCTGTTGGATGTGGCTTCAGCACATGATTCAGAGCAGAAAGCAGTAGGTGATCAAAGGATTGTGTTTACACATGAACTGTTGTTCACTAATGAGGTTAAGTACATTTCTTTCTTGCAGTTAAGTACGTTTAGGAATGAAACATTTACGTCTTAAAGCACGTCTTTCTGCCATTTACACTACTATTTATCATACAATAGACACAGAGTTATACATAGAGACATTGCTATGTTGTATAACAATACTTGGAGTGGAAGAAGACTCCCAGTTCCACATCAGTTCCACAATCTAAAAAGACTTATTTTTTATCACTAACAAATACACATAAAAGCATTTTAATGTTTTACTTTGGCAATGTGGAGCCAATTTTAGATACTTTGATACTACTGTGTAGATTTGGAGTAAAGTACTGCATTTTACCATTTAAGCATAACATGTGTTTTTATATGTAGTACCTATAAGTGTTAAATAAACGTAGTTGATTGAAACATACAATATTTCCCCCTGAGACGTAGTGGAGTAGAAGTAAAAAGTATTTCAAAACTGTACTTAAGTACAGTATTTGAGTAAATATACAATCCACCATTTTTATGATGGCTTATTAGTAATTTATTCTAGTGGTGGAAAGTACATTTACTCAACTACTGTAGGAAAGTACAATTTTAAGGTATGTATACTTTAGTATATCAATTTTGTGCTACTTTATATTTAATATTGTACTTTTTTCTCTACAGTTTAATTACTTTACAGATTAAGAGTTTATATACAAAATATGAGGCGATCTTATAAATAAGGACTGCAATTTCAACCATTTTGTCTACTGCCCATTAATCTGATGATCAAATCTTGATTTATTAATGAATCATTTGTTCTATTAAAAGAAAATAGTCAAATAAAAAACACCTATTAGAATATAACCAGAGTCCAAAATGACATATTTAAATGTCTTCTTTTGTCAGACCAAAACCTAAAGATATTCAATTTAATAAAAGCAGCTAATCGTCACAATAGTTGCCCTTTCCTCAATCAACTAATTGTTTCAATTCTAATATAAATATCAGTGTCATAAATGTTTTTCATTTTTCATTTTTTAAGATACCACATCCACGCTCAACATAGCTCACAATGCAAACTATTACATGGCAATAAGGTAAGAACAGCAGGCCTCTTAGCAGCTCCTCCTGTGGTGTGGCGTCTCCTACCAGGCAAACACATCAAAAGCCTCTGGATTCATTATGTAAAATGGCGCAGCTAAAGGGAATTGATCTGCAAGTAAATACAATGGTGGTAATATGTGAGAGAATGGTATTTGATTTTAATTGGCTGCTGCAAAGCAACCACTGTCTGTAATCAAGGAAGCAGCGGGTGATCCATAACACAACAGTCTGTACCTATTAGGCTCAGCTCACTGGTAAACAGAGAAGCTCACATATTCCACTTCACATGTGACAATTAAAAAACTATATCTATAATTTACTTTTTATTTGATTTTTTCTCTCTCTATAGAACGTGCCTATCTCTACTAATTACTTGGACCATTCTTGTGATGAGCAGTGGCTGTAACACTAGCAGGACTCAGCCACCAGAGAGAGCCCTGTCCTCAGCTAAAACCTGCTCACTGTTCAGTGTGTCCTGCCTCACACCCCTAATGGAGAAGTGTTAGAACTCTGGGAATACCAATGGATTATTTCATAGAATAAAACAGCACTATATCAGTGGTTTTTACCACAAGGACTTTGCTGAATCACCTTGATTTAGTGAGAATTGTATTTGTACAGATTCATTCTGATGGCTGTGTAAAATGTACACAATGTAAAAGTTCAAGTTTGGGGTGGAGATATTTGGAAGACATAAACAGCCAGCGCCTGATGCCCTCTTCAGGTCACTTATGATCCCTGGAGAATTGTAGTGGTAGAACATCTCCTGATGCATGCTGGGTAAAATCCTTGTGGATGTCAGCATGTCTGATTAAAGGTGTAACATTATATCCTACCAAATATTGTGTTAAGGTCTAATCCAGTTAGTCAGCATGCCCATGCTATTGTGCATAAAGACAAACAACACCACATTCAGATGTGAAAAAACCTTTATACTGCAAGTGTGTGGAACCAGGGACAACAATAGTGACCATTTGTTTTAGGAGGTAAGAGTTCATACTCAATGTCAAAGTGAATTTCTCTGACAAAACTGTAATATATTCATTACAAATGACTCAATGTTTATTTCTTTAGAAAAAATCCTGTTTTTTTTGTGTGTAAAATGGAGGCCAGGGGTTGTGTGTAGTATGACTGCAGTATTTTACACTAACAACCCCTCTGTCCCCTCCTCACTGTGCCCCAGAGTCCCATAGGACAAAATAGATCAGGATGATGCAGACAGACAGCACTCGTCATACAATTGATTATTGGATTCATATCCATCACCGTGTACATTTATGTAGGCTCCCTCTGTGCCTTCCTGGGTGTGAATGCACATGCTGGACTACTATCTATGACACAGTGTATTTGTTATGGCATTTATATGATCATATAAAGTGAATGAGCAGTGGGTTTTATATCAAATGTTCAGACTTTGGCTCTGGAAATAACAAACATCAGGTTTGGCTTCTGACACCGACTGACAGAGTCAAACGGCTCTCCTGGTGCTGAACATAAACCTTTTAATTACTGCAAACATGGTTGATGAGTTTGAAGCTTGATTACTTGGCCTTCATTAGTCAGATTGTGAGCTATAGTGACTCCCAGAGGCGCAATTTGGCATCTCTAAACACTGCCAGCCTCTGTGTTTAGCAATTACATTTACCCTACAGTACACCCAAACAGGTGTGTGCAGCCAAACACACACACACACACACACACTCACACACACACATACACACTCAAACAACACTTTTTTATTATTATTATCAGCTTGAACAAGCATGGTTGCATGTAGGAATTTCAGTCTGTTCTTTAATTCAGAGAACGAATCTGACTAAAAGAAAACACTGATAAAATGTGCTTAGTGTGCTGAGTCCTGCTTTGTTGAACTCTGCCTGTCATAATGATTTCGTGTTTGCTGTGCCATCTCGGCTTTGTTTTCCATCAGGGCGGCCGGTGGTTGTCACTACACCGAGGAGGGAGCGTTCTGCCTCAGGCCACGACACGCTGATAATGAATGTTCAGCTCATTGGAAAAATAAAGTGTGTCTGAATTATGTGGTCGGGATCTGGCCGTTGTTTGGGTGTGTGAGTCAGACACAGTAACATGTGCGGATGTTCAGTTTGCACAACTTCCTGTGCTATAATGCTGAGGCCAGGCCGCAGTTAGGGTAATGCAGGTGGAAGGTATTGTTGATAGGCTTTTTGTGCTAAACTGCATGTTGAGCTTTAACACGCTGTCCGACAGCAGCCTTGCCGCTATTTTTAGACGGGTACAGCTGCTCCTTAGCACCCACCCTTAAACCAGCCATTCACCAGAGATTTATGGCAAGAGCCCACGAGAAACAGCTGTAGCATCTTGCCACTTGTTTTATCCAAGGAGAGCAAGCCAAGGTCTATTAAGAATTTATTTTGCTTACTAATTTTGCTTCTCTTGATTTTGTTTAGTATCAAATGCAGTTATCAGTGAGTGGGATGCCTCACGCTGCTGAACGTTGAAACCACAACTCTGGAGCGTCCGGTGCTGCAGCGATGAGTCAGGCTCTGGTCACAACGCCACCTGGGTCCAACACAAGTTCAACACTTGTGGCGAGCTGCTCCCCCACTACACCACGTGTCCCAGCACGTCAGCTCAGCATACTGTCATAACATCTGAAAAATAACAATATAGTTTGTTCCTGATGAACATGACTGTGTGTTTTCTCACCCTGGTGAGGACAGAGAAAAGACTTTCAGGACTTTGTGTTTTGTGCAAAAACCCAGATTTGTCCTTTTGTTCATTTTCTTGCCTTACTGTTCCCTTTGATACTGTATCTACAGTCCAACTGTCACATGATTATAGTCGTGTAAATTGGCAGGAAAATGCTGTGGAGCTATAGTAGGCAGAAAAATTGGCCTGCTGCTGGCTGCCTTTATGAGAGAGAGATAGTGTGTGTGTGCGCTGGGGATGGGCACTAAATACGCAGCTCCCTGAGCCACACTATAGCGGC